CAAATTAAATGAAGGAAGAGGATTTTTTTTAAAGTCAAATAAAATATTGGGGATTTATGTAAAAATATACATAGAGACATATAAATAATTATATAATTAAAGATATGTACGCTATGTTAGGTGAATACTCCTGTCATTTACCCTGACCACTGGCATCCCTGGACGCTGCACTGCGGCTGCCCACTGCTCCTAGTGTATACAGTAGGATGGGTCAAATGCAGAGGTCAAATGTGTGTAATGTGCTGAGAAAGGACAATAAAGAATCTTCTTCTAATAATAATTTCTTAATAACTAGGAGATAACAAAAGAATCAAGAGATTTCAAAGACTTAAAAAATAAGGGACATGAATCAAAACAACAAGAAACGAGATATATCCCCAGTCATGCACACCCAGTTTTAACAAACTCAGTACTGTTTTTCAACACATCTATTGATTTGTCTTCATTCAATGTAGTTAGCACATATTGTTATTGCGCCATTGGTGCCCCACATTTTGGCCGTAATGCCCCAATAAATTTGTATTTATCAAAGGCCAAAGTGGCCTTGCCCTAAAAATGACTTAATTCCAGGCCTGTAATCGTGTATTTCCTCTCCTGTTTCTGTCCTCGTAGGGGCCAGTTGCAGTGTGCTGCTTTTTTATGTGCTGCTGCCTCCATTGGCAGAGCGTCTCTGCTGATGTAAGATATAAGTCATGAGCGAAAATATGCACTACACAGCCAGAAAAAGAACCTCTTAAGCAGGGCAAGTAAGAATTTAGATGGGGCAAGTAGATTTGAGAAGTACTTGCCCAGCAGGGCAAGTAGGAAAAAACCTTAACATCCGACCCTGTATATGGAGGAATGAGTTTCTGAATGTTTATGCATGATGCCCTTTTTCATCGTAGACAAGAGGCTCCATTCCCTTCTACTGGTCCCAAAGGCCCAATCTCAAGTACAAGCCAAAACCACAGATCAGCAAAACAGTGAACCACGTAAGCTGTCTTTACATTCTAGCCTCTGTGTATTTGTACTCTTATTTATCTTCATTTCTTACACAGCTTTCCCTTTCTTTTTATCTCTTCAGATGGATGGATTCCAGAGACACTTTGACTCACAGATTATTCTCTATGGAAGACAAGTCATTTTGAACTTGGTAAGATGAGAAAAAGTGTAATTGTATCATCTGTTGATTCTATGACCTGTCTTACTTTCATTTTATGAAATCAGTGTGCCAGCTAGATGTAGATTTCACACTGTTCAATGCATGATATGACCCTGGCTTGAAAGGAGCACTTCACTAAGATTATTCCATGGCAGTAACCAAAACTGAGTTTTTAGACTTGTTGTTATCCTTATTTCACAGATCAATCAAAAGGGCTCAGAGAAACCACTGGAACTGGCATTTGGCAAGATGGTGACCAACTTGAGTAATGGCATGATCAAGTAAGATTACCACCAGTTCCATTCTTTACCCTTCATATAAAGCTGGGTTCTTTTAGACCCTCATATTTATACCTCCTCTAATTACGTTGAGCTCAATATATCTTTGGTAAATGCTTGCCCCTCTGCAGGTACATAGCCTTTGACTTCCACAAGGAGTGCAGTCGTATGAGGTGGCACCGCCTGCAGATCTTAGTGGACATGGTTGCTGAAATGCAGGATGAATTTGGGTCAGTGTGCTGATATACAAGTACACCAGGTAGATATCTATAAACTGTACGGCAGACGTAATGGTATGTATGTGGATTCAGATATTTCCTGGTGGATGCAGATGGGAAGGTGCTGTTGAATCAGGAAGGGACTTTTCGGAGCAACTGCATGGACTGTCTGGACCGTACCAATGTCGTCCAGAGCCTGCTGGCTGAACGCTCGCTGCAGTCACAGCTACGGGTAGGACCCTATAATCATATGGTGGACATAACATTTAAAACAACTGAAGACAGAAAAGAGTGGCTGTGCCCAGCTTGTGCCTGGTACAATGGATATGTGGTGGCAAAACAACTATTTAATGAACAGTTTAAAGAAAAAGACTTCACACGTCGGCTGTCTTTCTTGAGTTTTAATAAGCATTCATGAATGGAGACACTCACACATACAACCACATAAACAGTCAGTCAGTGAACGAGTGCCTAGCAAGTCCTCTCCCCTGCTATCTTTATAGTTCCCATAACACATGCACATCAACAGTCAAAATATGTGGTGCCTTGACATTCCTAAATCACATCTCTTGAGACTAACAAGGACACTTGGTGTCCTCCCTGGCTCATAATCTTGGTGTCTGAGCCTCCCTGGCTCGTGACCTTGGTGTCTCTCACTGCTGTCACAGTAGGGGTTAAATGAGCAACACACATCATTAGGTGAGAAGTTCAGTCTCATCAAAACAAGTAACCTTAGGACATGGGTACACAACATATGCAGAACACATTATAGGTTAAACATGGTTACAGAATTTTTCTATCACAGATACCAGTGGGGACATTTTATAAAATGAAGTGTAAAAAGCATAGAAACCATTCTCTCTCCACTCCATATTTGCTCATTACTCCTACATAATAGGGCTGGGATGATATGCTTTTGTCCCGATTCGAATCTATCACGATTCTTGGGTCCCGATTCGATTTATATTGCAATTCTGAATAATTGCGATTTTACAAGTATTGCGATTCAATTTCTAAAGTATTGCAATTTGATATAACTGTCCGTGACAAAGTTTATAGACAGCTTTGGTCATTTCAAGCTCTGCCTTTCCTGGATGTGTGTATATGTGTGTGTGTGTGTGTGTGTGTGTGTGTATATATAG